GGCAAAATCAGAGGTGGGGGGTGGTACAACCAATTGTAACTATATATATATATATATATATATATATATATATATATATATATATATATATATATATATATATAACATACATTTTTTTTTCTTTGGGGGGGGGGGGTTGGTGACACCATGAAATGCCAATATTAACAGAAAGTGATATTTCAACGCAAAGGTACAGAAAATAGTCCAAGTAAAGACAAGCAGTCAGAAACCAACGGGATCCGAACCTACCATTCCACACGGCACCTATTCGCCTTCGCCTTCCATGCATCAAGTGAGACGTGTAACCGCTTCTGCCACTCAACCCTACAAAAATAAGGCTTTCGTGGTAGACCACTGTCCTAGCTTTTTGCAGGTAGACGCACCGCTTGACGGTCGATTTAGCGACGCCACTGAAAAAGACCACTTGCTACCGAGCTATCATGACTGACCTCTCATGCCAAATCTCCGAAAACAAACTATTTGTGTTTGGTGCTTTAAGGGTTTGTTTATTAACAGAAATATCGATGTGTAAAATGTTTACAAAATTAAAATTACAAGACCATTTTTTATTTGGTAAGGGGAAATCATCCACTTTTAATTAGCCATAACTATTACGCGCTCTTACTTCCCTTTATTAAACGAATTCAATTGATTTTTTCAAAATACGTATTTGTAAGTAACATAAAAAATGAATAAATAAAAAGGTGTAAGAATTGCAGAGATTTGAAAATAATTTTATATTTTTTTATTGAAGATTTCGTGTCAGTCTGAAAACATTAAATTTAGCAGTTACGCAAAAAGAATTAAATCAATCTCCTCAATACCTAAAACAGTAAGTATTGAATACCGTAACATGTGCCCATTGTTTTGAGACTAAATCGAAACCAACAGTTGATAAAAACATCAGGGTGCCCCCTCCCCCACATTTCGCCAAATTTAGAGACTTTCGGCACATAAACAGTAATACAATTTTTGTTACGCATCCATATTAGATTTAGACACGTAAACTTTCAGTGTAACACAATATGTCAATTTTGTTTACAACTAAATATTCGTATATCGTTTGCGTTTACACTAGATAACTAGATAAGTCATTCTGTTAAGAGGTTATTACAAAAAAAAATTAGTTAAAAAAAAGTTAACTTTCAATAATATGAAGTATGCAAGTCTGTTTCAACATAAATTGTGTTACATTTTCTCAACATAATTCATTTACACTTTAAAAAAAACACTACACATATAGATAAAATGTTTAGTTTAGTTTTAAAATCTGTTTTTGAACAATATCTTCATGTTACGAGAAATGTATTTATTTCTAATGAGCGGTGTTTACGTTGTGTTGTGGCTAATCTACTATTACTTAGGGAGAGGTGGACAGGTAAATAAGGAAGCTGCTGACTTCCGGGTAGACAGGTAAACAGGCTGAAGCGTGGCGTGTACTTCCCTTTTATACAGTGATTGATGTTGTTGTTGATGACGGTAATGATGTTGTTGTTGATGACGGTAATGATGATGATGTTGTTGTCTTGACGTATTTTGACTACTGCCTCGGGTGTAAGACAGTCAGGTATAGATAACCTTGAAAAGTCGACAAGTCATATGCCGGTTTATCCTGATAAATCATCTATAGGTCATCTGCAGGTCCATGGTGATAAGTCACCTTTAGATCACTTGTATGTCCATGGTGATAAGTCATCTTTAGGTCACATGAAGGTCCATGGTGATAAGTCACCTATAGGTCATCTGCAAACCCATCCTGTTACATCAACTAGATTAACTACAGATCCACCTTCGTCCAAATTCTACTTTGGTCCATCTGGATTTATGTCCCCTGATGTCACAGTTATAAACGTGTTCCTTTTCCCCATCGTTTTGTTAGGCATTCGTTAATAATCGTAGTTCGGTATGTTAGGCATTTTGTAATTGCACTAATTATTGTGTTGTTGTATCATATTAGGTATTTCGCTGTAGCTTAATGTACAGTATTATATGGTTCCATTATTAGGCAATTTTTCCTTGCTTAACTTCAGACATTGTGTATCTTGCAAATGTTATTTGTTTTTTTATTTTTATTTTCCAAATGTTAATTTTTTTGAAATTGTCAAATGCTAGATATTTTGTATTTGTCAAATGTTAATAATTGTGTAGGTGTTAAATGTTAGTTATTTTGTATTTGTCAAATGTTAGTTATTTTGTTTTTTCAAATGCTAGACATTTTTTATTCGCCAAATGTTCGGTACTTTCTGTATAGCAATGGCAACATACTGACCTAGCAAACATATGTCATTATATGACGACATCAACATACTAAACGTGTGTTATTTGTAAATACTAAACTTATTTCACCGCATATGGCTACACAAACCCAATCTTTGATCCGCAAATCAAAGCCTATAAATCTTAGTCTTGCCTTAACAAGTGATCTCTAATAAATAAACCAAACTTTAACTTAACATGTCCACCAATCTAGACTTCCTATCTAACCAAAACCCTTACCTAACACAAGTTAAACTTGAACACAAAGCTAAACCTAAGTTTAAACTAAACGCGAAACTAAACTGAATGTGATTTAAGCCCACGTCTGAACTTTAACTGAAATAAAACTTGACCTAAACGTTAAAATGATCCCATATCTGAATGCGTACATGAAGCTTAATTCGGCATTAATTATAACTTTAACCCATACACACATGTACTTTCTACACACACACACACACACACACACACACCCACACACACACATATACACACACACACACGCGTACTTTCCATACAAGAACGTACTTTCCACCCACACCCACACACACACATACGTACTTTCTATACGTTCTATACACTATACGCACACGTACTTTCAATACACATACGTACTTTCTATCCCACTCTAATCACTTTTGGTTAATCAACACACCTGAGCTGTGCCCGCATATTGTCAAGTTGTCAGCGGCAACATATTGACATGTTGTCACAGACGACATAGAACAGACGCAGTGACAATAATGACTGACATGACCGACAAGGAAGCAATTAGGGCCAATCTTGTCTGGCGTACCAAGGTAGGTAATTCTGTCTGTGTCTAGACTCTAGAGTTACCGTTCCTGATGACTAGAGTTACCGTTCCTGATGACTACCGATGCTCTAGCGCAGGGGTCTCCAAACTACGGCCCGCGGGCCGGATGCGGCCCGCGAAGTCCTCTCATCCGGCCCGCAGATCTTTTTGTCTAAAGAAAAATCGTTTGTTGGTGATGGGTGAGGAACTTTGCCCAGAGAAATCAAAGACATGCCTGGAAGAAACTGGCCCCCAAACTGAAATTCGATAGTTAATGTGGCCCTCGGTCTGAAAAGTTTGGAGACCCCTGCTCTAGCGAACCGTAAATTAGGTGCGGAGAGACAAAAAAGGGAACGAACTCTTGATTTGTTTCTAAGGTTATTGTTCCTTATGATATATTGCTAAAGTAGCAGGTGAACACCGGGAAATGAGAATACAAATATCGGGCAGAAAACTAATTGTGTATATACAATATTTAGTCTTACTACTCTTATGAACTTAGAGAATAGGAAAAAAACGGCTAGATTTAGAATGAACAGATCTGTGATAATGAAGATAGGCCAAAGGCCAAGTTAGAATGATGAGAATTGTGACATTGAGGACAATTAGAAAATCGCCTAGTTTATAATGAGCAGAATTTTGACATTGAGGATAGGCCAAAGACGGCCAAGGTAGAATGAAGAGAATTGTGAAAATGAGGATAATTCAAAGATGGCCAACGGCCAAGTTTATAATGAATAGAGTTGTGACATTGGGGATAATTCAAAGATTGCCAAATTTAGGATCAACCGAATTGTGACATTAAGGATAATTCAAAGATAGCCAAATTTAGGATCAACCTAATTGTGACATTGGGGATAATTCAAAGATAGCCAAGTTTAGGATCAACCAAATTGTGACATTGAGGATAATTCAAAGATAGCCACATTTAGGATCAACCGAATTGTGACATTGGGGATAATTCAAAGATAGCCAAGTTTAGGATCAACCGAATTGTGACATTGGGGATAATTCAAAGATAGCAAAGTTTAGGATCAACCGAATTGTGACATTGGGGATAATTCAAAGATAGCCAAATTTAAGATCAACCGAATTGTTACATTGGGGATAATTCAAAGATAGCAAAGTTTAGGATCAACCGAATTGTGACATTGGGGATAATTCAAAGATAGCCACATTTAGGATCGACCGAATTGTGACATTGAGTTACAGCTGAACACGACAGAAAGGGGCCATAACTCATCTAGCAGCTGCGGGGAGATGACCCCCCCCCCTTTTTTTCCTCGTTTGTTCAACCCTCCTACACACGACTTAAAAACTACTTTAGAAGTAAATTTAGACGTGGCTTAATTTTTTTCTAAGAGATCTCTACTTTGCTGAATTATTAAGGAAGTAATAAACCAATGTCTAGCATTTTTGAGAACGCATTACATGTGAAACGAAATCAATCAAATACTGACTAATTAATGATGTCAAATTTAAAATAACTTTCGTCTCAATAAATTAAATATTCTACAATAAGTTTTTCTTCTAAGAAAATAATGCTGATGTTTTTAAATTTAAATATATTGTTACGGCAAAGAGCGGAATACGATAGGCTCGTCTTGCTTAAAAAATCTGGCAATAGTTCGTGTCCTATTAATAAAGAAAGTGGGTGAGAGAGATGACAAATAGGGTCACCTGACCTCTCGAGGCAGACTGATCTAGTGTTGCTATACTCTGTTGGGAATTTAGCTCAGTCTACCTGTTAGGGAAAACCCGCAAAGGCAGCTATTTGGCTTAAACGTGACAGGTTAGAAAAATGCGATTTTTTTTAGATGAAGATTTTAAGTTGGGGGGAGGGGTAGGATTGGGGGGGGGGGGGGTCGAAACGGGGGTTGGTGTATTACACGGAGGGGGTGGGGGGTTCTACTAGTGGGCGAGAAATGAGCTGCAATTGATCCCGAGTGTTCACCAAGTCACGTGACGACCGTGCGCTGTCCCCAAACTGAGCCGAGGCGCGACCGTCGTTGTGATACTCCGCACACGTGACCGGACACTCCACGGGCACTCCCGACACCCCCAAAAGAAGCGCAAGAAACCTCCCGTGGATTTTATATTTATAAGGAACTTACCATCGTAAACACATTTTTTTTTATTTTAAAGGACCCCTTTACCTACTAAGAACTATGGAGACCACAACTGTGCTAATTTCAGTATTTCTTTTCGGTGAGTTGGATCATTGCTGAATTATTGTGCTGTGTACGAATTATTTTGGTAGAGTTAATAAAAGGTGTATAGCGATATAAATAATTATCTCATTAAAAAAATAAGGGAAAAGGCTTTTATCATATAAAAAAACAACAGCCTACACAAATGAAAAGATTTACTAGAAAGTAAAATATAAATTTAGTTTGCCTACACATTTTTTAAAAATTTGCTTACAGAATACTTATTTTAATAAATTTTGTCCAGATTCACTAAAAATTTTCTTTCTCTTTCTGCATGATCCATCTCTTGTAACTTACTAAAGCTTGTATATGCTTGTATTACTAAAAAAAAAAACCCATAGAGGTGAACATTTCTTAGAATTTTCTGCTTTAAGGAAAGTATGATGTAAAAAAATATTATTAAATTCTAAATAGAGTGAAGTACCATTTCCAGATTTGGAGGTCACTCAAAAAATTAAAATAAATCTAAGTATAGGCTCTCATATTTATGTTTGAAATTTCGTTTACCTAATTAAAATAGTACTCAAGTACGGAAAGAGTAAAGTATCACTTCCGAATATCAAACATCTTTTTAAAAATTGTAGAAATCTGCGCATACAATTTAATACTTCTATGTGAAATTTCGTCCACCTAGCGTAAACGATCCTCAAGTTATCGGCTTTTCAAAAGCCGAACATAGAGTAAGTACCACTTCCGGTTACCGGAAATAGCACAGAAGTTGATTAAAAAATACAACGAGGATATGTTTATGTAAGGAATTTCAACATAATTGAAACGGCACTCAAGTTATCGTGTTCACAGACAGACATAAAGACAGACACAGACATTTTTCCGACTCATAAAAACGCAGAATGTCGGGATTTGTTAAAACCTCGATTTCAATTTTTGGCACGAATACACTACAACACTTCCAGTCTATACTCCACATACAAGATAGTAAAAACAATTCACGTGGATTAATTAAGTGGGATAGGAGGGTGGTTTCTGATTTTATGAATGTGCGACATTCGTGAAGGGGTTGTAAGAAATGCGATGTTGCAATATTTAATGTAGGCTATTTCTTACAAATAAAGGTGTTGCTTTTCCACTTTGGTGATCGGTAATTAAGAAAGAAAATTGTTGAAGGTAGTTTGTGAGTATGTGAGGGCTAGTAGCGGAACTAGAAAAAACAGTCTCCCCCGCAAAAAAATAAATAAATTAGGGATTTTAATAAAACTAGGCATGCTGCCCAGCTTCGCTTAGGCTTTCGAAAACATTGAGAATTTGAATGCTTAATTAATTCGCCCGAAGGTCGGTCTACGACCTCAAGAGTTATGAAGAGGTTCCTCCGTGGACATTTTTTTTTCGATTTATAGCTCATATAAGGTACCGGTCAGTCGAGGTCAGTTTTGACCCCCACATCGTAGACTTTTCGGCCAACCGGCCCCCGTGTTCTGTCGCACCAAGGCAAGTGCCCTATCGGACACCCGACAATCTAGATCTAGATCTAGATTCCTAAAAGAATTTTTTTTTTAAGTTTAGCCCGAGCATAATAAAAAAGAAAACATTAACCAAGTTGACTTGCTGTGTCTCGAACCCGCACCACCTGCGTGGTTTAATGTACACTAACATCTCCGCTATTTCGGCACCTTATAAAATACGGAGAATGAAACACGTATTTTAAAATCTTAACTTACGCGAATATGCCTATTCTTTCAAATTAACTTTTTATCCCAAATTAGCCAGTTCCAAACAAAGATTTTGTATAAAATAAATAAGTCTTGAAATAGTTTAGTCCTAATATAGAAATTTATTTTTGGAATTGATTTAAGAGAAGTTAGAGTCTAAATCAGACTAAATCTAGATCTTAGCGTCTACGTCTAGATCTAGTTATTGCGTAGATTTAGATTTAGATTTAGTCTAGCTAGATCTAGAATCTCTAGATCTAGAATCCAAATACATAAAATAAATTTTATGAGTTTAGGCCGGAAAAATTGTATTGTATACATTTCATAGTGTACGTAGATCTAAATCAAATTTGAATGAAATAGTTCATTTCTTTTCATTCTAAACACGGCAGATGACGTCATTAGTTAATGTATAAGCAATAGTGACGTCACAGTTTTATGCGTTCTTTTTCACATATATTAATGCTTTTCCGGTTGCATAAATAATACGGTTTCTCTACATTCGAATACGCCTTTAATTTTAATTTTTCTTCTTTAACTAAAATTGTGGTTATACATTTAAAACATCTAACATATTATTTTCAACAAAAGTCCGTAAAAAGTTCTTCATATATCGCTGCCGATTCTGACGTGATGTCCGGCGAAAATATTTTGCGGACAGACAGAGAGAGAGAGAGAGAGAGAGAGATGTGCGAACGTGGGGATTTATATATTAGGATTATGTTTAGACCCAGTAAATTTCTTTGGCTGGTCAAAACTATATAAAGACGTAAGCTTAATTTATTAATGGTTTCCCGCGTTATGTTTATTTTTATAATTTTTGGTTTTTATAATATTAATTTTTAAAACATTGATTTTTATATCTATACCATTGTTTAGTTCTTCTTATTTTAATAATAATTCAGAGAATCAATTGCTTTTTAATATACATAGTACAAAACTATTTTAATTGAGGTTCATAGGAACCCTTATTTTAAAGAAGGGCAGTAAGTCGTGGAAGTAGTGTGAACGTTTGCCTACCTTTCAAACTACAGCTCTTGTAGATTTTCAAAAATATTTTTCTACGCTACAGTGTGCGATAGTAACTGTAGAACAATCTCTACTATAGTAGACCTGTTTTTATTGTTTTTACTAAACCACTTTCAAGATGCATGAAAAACATAATTTATGAAAAACAATTCAGAGGTTTCTTTTTTTGGTCGGAACTGGGCCCCTAAACGTCCTGCCCCCCCTCCCCTTCCGCATTGCGGGGTCTGGTGGCATGGTAGTTCCGCCCCTGGTGAGGGCTATGACATTTTGTGACATAAGTTAAGGTCAAAGGAGTGAAGGTCGATGTTTTGTGACATAATGATCAGTGGCGTTGCTAGGTCGGGTGTCACCCGGTGTGGCACTTCGTGGTGTCACCCCTCCCCCCCCCCCCCCAAGAAACTAAGTATATATATATATATATATATATATATATATATATATATATATATATATATATATATATATATATATATATATATGTGTGTGTGTGTGTGTATGTATGTATAACCCCACCCCCACCCTCTTGTAATAATTGTCGATTTGTACTTAAAAGACTATTTAACTTTAATTAATCACTAATGGATCTGGCAAAATGCCATTTTCTTCTGTACATTTTGCAATATTTTTGGCTTGGTGTCACCCCCCTAAATGGTGTCACCCGGTGCGGTCCGCACCCCCCTCCACTAATTTTTTTTAACCACTGTGTCTGCCCTAAATGTTCTGTAACCACTGTGTCTCTGATAATTGTTCTATGACCACTGTGTCTCCACTTATTGTTCTATGGCCACTGTGTCTCCACTAAATGTTCTATGACCACTGTGTCTCTGATAATTGTTCTATGACCACTGTTTCTCTACTAAATGTTCTATAACCACTGTTTCTCTACTAAATGTTCTATAACCACTGTGTCTCTGATAATTGTTCTATAACCACTGTGTCTCCACTAAATGTTCTATAACCCCTGTGTCTCCACTAAATGTTCTATGCCCACTGTGTCTCTGATAATTGTTCTATAACCACTGTGTCTCCACTAAATGTTCTATAACCACTGTGTCTCCACTAATTGTTCTATAACCACTGTGTCTCCACTAAATGTTCTATGACCACTGTGTCTATACTAAATATTCTATAAACACTGTGTCTGCCCTAAATGTTCTATAACCACTGTGTCTCCACTAAATGTTCTATAACCACTGTGTCTCCACTAATTGTTCTATAACCACTGTGTCTCCACTAAATGTTCTATGACCACTGTGTCTATACTAAATATTCTATAAACACTGTGTCTGCCCTAAATGTTCTATAACCACTGTGTCTCCACTAAATGTTCTATAACCACTGTGTCTCCACTAATTGTTCTATAACCACTGTGTCTCCACTAAATGTTCTATGACTACTGTGTCTATACTAAATATTCTATAAACACTGTGTCTGCCCTAAATGTTCTATAACCACTGTGTCTGCCCTAAATGTTCTATAACTACTGTGTCTACACTAAATGTTCTATAACCACTGTGTCTCCACTAAATGTTCTATAACCACTGTGTCTCCACTAAATGTTCTATAACCACTGTGTCTACACTAAATGTTCTATAACCACTGTGTCTCCACTAAATGTTCTATAACCACTGTGTCTCCACTAAATGTTCTATAACCACTGTGTCTCCACTAAATGTTCTATAACTACTGTGTCTCCACTAAATGTTCTATGGCCACTGTGTCTCTGATAATTGTTCTATGGCCACTGTGTCTCTGATAATTGTTCTATGGCCACTGTGTCTCTGATAATTGTTCTATGGCCACTGTGTCTCTGATAATTGTTCTATGACCTCCGTGTCTCTGATAATTGTTCTATAACCACTGTGTCTCCACTAAATGTTCTATAACTACTGTGTCTTCACTAAATGTTCTATGCCCACTGTGTCTCTGATAATTGTTCTATAAATACTCTGTCTTTGAATGCTCTGTGACCAATTCGCCTTTCAGCCCTAGTGTCCACTGGTCAAGCCACCAAATGTGAGGATGTAGATATGGACTGTGGCCGGCTTGACCTGGAGAGAAACATTTGTGCTGACCCTTATGATGCCATCACGTTGTGTATCCGATACTGTGGTCTTTGTACAGGTGAGGTGTTGGTGGTATATGTACAGGTGAGGTTTTGGTGGTTTTAGTTATAGGTGAGGTTTTGGTGGTCTATGTACAGGTGAGGTTTTGGTGGTATATGTACAGGTAAGGTTTTGGTGGTTTTAGTTATAGGTGAGGTTTTGGTGGTCTATGTACAGGTGAGGTTTTGGTGGTCTATGTACAGGTGAGGTTTTGGTAGTCTATGTACAGGTGAGGTTTTCGTGGTTTAGGTATGGGTGAGGTTTTTGGTAGTTTATGTAAAGATGAGATTTCGGTGGTTTAGGTATAGATGGTGTTTTTGTGGTTTATAGGTGAGGGTTTGGTGGTTTAGGCATAGGTGAGGGTTTGGTGGTTTAGGCATAGGTGAGGTTTTGGTGGTTTAGGCATAGGTGAGGGTTTGGTGGTTTAGGCATAGGTGAGGTTTTGGTGGTTTAGGTACAGGTGAGGTTTTGTTTGGTGGTTTAGGCATAGGTGAGGGTTTGGTGGTTTAGGCATAGGTGAGGTTTTGGTGGTTTAGGTACAGGTGAGGTTTTGTTTAGTGGTTTAGGTACAGGTGAGGTTTTGTTTGGTGGTTTAGGTATAGGTGAGGTTTTGTTTGGTGGTTTAGGTACAGGTGAGGTTTTGTTTGGTGGTTTAGGTACAGGTGAGGTTTTGTTTGGTGGGTTAGGTACAGGTGAGGTTTTGTTTGGTGGGTTAGGTACAGGTGAGGTTTTGTTTGGTGGTTTAGGTACAGGTGAGGTTTTGTTTGGTGGTTTAGGTACAGGTGAGGTTTTGTTTGGTGGTTTAGGTACAGGTGAGGTTTTGTTTGGTGGTTTAGGTACAGGTGAGGTTTTGTTTGGTGGTTTAGGTACAGGTGAGGTTTTGTTTGGTGGTTTAGGTACAGGTGAGGTTTTGTTTGGTGGTTTAGGTACAGGTGAGGTTTTGTTTAGTGGTTTAGGTACAGGTGAGGTGTTGGTGATTGTTGTACAAGTGATTTAAGTAGTTTGTGTACAGTTGAGGGCTTGGTTGTCTATTTACAGGCAAGGTTCAGGTGGTTTTTAAACACAGATATTTTAGTGGTTTATGTATAGATGACGTTTAGGTCGAGTCTCACCTGTGAAGATTGTGTGCTCCTCTATAAGTAACGATACGACTAAAGCCCCCGTTAGTACTCTGTCTTTAAAATCTTAGTGGGTACTCCTGTCTTTAAAGCTCTATTGGGTACTCCTGTCTATAAAGCCCTATTGGGTACTCCTGTCTTTAAAGCCCCCGTTGGTACTCTGTCTTTAAAGCCCTATTGGGTACTCCTGTCTTTACAGCCCCCGTTGGTACTCTGTCTTTAAAGCCCTATTGGGTACTCCTGTCTTTAAAGCCCCCGTTGGTACTCTGTCTTTAAAGCCCTATTGGGTACTCCTGTCTTTAAACAAGAGCATTTGTTAGTTTTTCCGTTACCAGGTAAGAATAGGTCAGGTACTAGAGATTAAAACGTGTATGTCTCCTCCTCCCCACCCCCCCACCTAAAAAAAACAGCCAGGGAGACAAGGTGGGGTTGGGGGGGGGGGCGAGCTTGAAAGGACGCATGTTCACAAGCTGTAAATGTCAAAGTGCGACAAGTTTGCGTATGTGTACGTGCTTGTTTTTGTTTGTAAATTCGGTGTATGCACGTTTGTGTGTGTGTGTGTGTGTGGGTACGTGGTCATTGTATGTTTTTTTGTATCTGTGTGTTGTGTATCTGTGGTAAGAATATGTGGCTATGAGGTGTGTTTGTGTGCGGTTTAGTGGATTTTTAGTTGGATGATTAATGAGTGAGGATTAAGAAGAAAGTAAAAGAGAGGGGCGCGGAGGGGGAGGGGGGGTGAGGCGGAGACGACGTGACCATCTGCACGCATTGTGTTAATGTATTGACGAAATCTTCTGGTGCCAATAACACATTCACATAATGTGTTTTGTATATGTTTTAAAAACTGTACATGTAAATATATATGTATTATATATATATATATATACACACACACACGCACACGCACACACACACACACACATATATATATATAATATATAGGGCGTATAGATGTTTAAAAAAATAAGTATCATGTATGATATGATGTATATCTAACAATACACCCAACAATATATCCAACAATACATCCAACAATTTATCCAACAACAGATCCAGCACATCCCACTGTGTGTGAGGACCACGATGTTGAATGTCCAACATTCGCCAACCAACAATTCTGTGCACAGGAACAGGCCAAGAAACTCTGCCGGAAAACCTGCAACTTCTGCCGTGAGTAGTGGTGACATTGAATTTTTTGGAGACATTATATCTTTTGGTGATATTATATCTTTTGGTGATATATCTTTTGGTGATATTATATCTTTTGGTGACATTATATCTTTTGGTGATATTATATCTTTTGATGACATTATATCTTTTGGTGGCATTATATCTTTGGTGGCATTATATCTTTGTTGGCATTATATCTTTGGTGACATTATATCTTTGGTGACATTATATCTTTTGGTGATATTATATCTTTGGTGAGATTAAATTTTGGCGACATTATATTTTGGTTACATTATATCTTTGGTGGCATTATATCTTTGGTGGCATTATATCTTTTGGTGGCATTATATCTTTGGTGAGATTATATCTTTTGGTGGCATTATATCTTTTGGTGATATTATATCTTTGGGTGATATTATATCTTTTGGTGACATTATATCTTTGGTGGCATTATATCTTTTGGTGATATTATATCTTTGGGTGATATTATATCTTTGGTTACATTTTCTTTTGGTGACACCATATCTTTAATGTCATTATCTTTTTGGTGACACCAACTTTTTGGTGACTTCAGCATTTGAAGAAATAGTGTAATCAGCACTGTGCCCAGCCGCCTTAAATTTTCCCATCATGAGTTCGGTACCCATAAGAGTTGAGTGGACTCAGTAATGTTTCATAGATACCAACCCGGGATTCGAACTCGAAGTTAGCAATCTATGCTCCACCATTGGACTCCGCCACACCGTTAGAGCACATCCCTTCATATGCCGAGGTGACAAACAGGTGAACTCTACCTCACCTGCATAATAGACCGTGACGGTACTTTTTTTAAAGTAAAGGAACCACTTCAAATGGGTAAATGTGTATGTAAAGGACCCACGTTAATTTTTTCTCCTATTGCAGATAAACTCTACAAAAAAAAATGTAAAAATTAATTTGTTAAAAAGTACCTATAGCTGTGAATTTTTAAAAAATAATTCACTATTGAAGTATATAAATCGTATACACTTGTTATTAAGTGTATTAGTAGTCAATATCCTTGTACAAAGCGTTTACGTTTTCTTTCTAGTCATCGCTTCCTTATTATTCACGGCACACATTTCTCGAGACAGCCAAGTTTTATCCTATTTATAAATCTTTGCGGGTGACAGTTTTGACGGAGAGTCACTGGCTGATTCATCACATGGTCTCCATGTTTGAGAGTTTTAAAAAATGGGTTGGGGTAGGGATAGGTGGTGTACACATGGCTTGTATAGGGGGTCAGGTGTACATATTTCTGTACACATTGCTTCTACAAGGGTGAGGTGTACATATTTTTGTACACATGGCTTGTATAGGGGTAGAGGTGTACAAATTGCTTCTATAGGGGGTGAGGTGTACATATTTCTGCACACATGGCTTGTATAGATGTAGAGGTGAACACATTACTAGTAATGCGTGCAGATGCGATTGTTAAATATACAGCACAGGTTATGAATTAAAAGTATGATGCTGATTTTATAAAATCCATACACTGCACCTAGTATTCAGTTTCATAACGCGAGATCGTTCTATTATTTTTACAATTTGCAGCAAATATTAAAATAATATTTCTCTTTCAATAATTTTTATTATTCCGTATGGGTTTAACTTTTCATTTCATGTGTATGTTCAACTATAAATAATATTCTTTACGACATAGAGTCAACCCCACTACGTTTATCCTAAATATTCTTTGCATCGTGTAATAAAGTAAGTAAGTAACGTCCCCTTTCGAACCTGATGGTCCATGGGGCAAGTGAAGTAGAAATCACCTGTTTCTGTAACCTGGACATATGAAGCATCATGTGCTAGTATATTATTACAACTTTCAAAATTTGGTGTCTTGTCTAACAACACCCTAGCGTCGTCTGATTTTGTAATCTTCAACATGATATTACGGTATGGAGCAGTGGCGTCGCTAGGTCGGGTGTCACCGGGTGCGGCACCTCATGGTGTCACCCCCTTTGTTTTTCTCTTTAAATTTTGCAGTTGGTGTCCCCCCCACCCCCCGGTAAAAGTCTTTAAAGTGTTCACATCTAATATTAATGATGTTTATCTACTGTCGGTTTGTTAATACAGCTTGGTGTTACATTGTTTTCTCTATAGTTTGCATGTTTACGTCATGGTGTCACCCCTCTCCCCCTTCCTTGTCGGGATCGTAAATATGTACTTAAAATATTTTTTTTAACTCTAATTAACCATTCCTTGAACTGGCAAAAAATATATTTATTTAAAAAAAAATTGTATTTTTTTGGTCTTGTTGTCACTCCCCCCCCCCAAATGGTGTCACCCGGTACGGTCCGCACCCCCACTCCCGCCTCGCGACGCCTCTGGTATGGAGTAATTTTGGTAGATCTATTTAATTAATTAACAGGAGAAAAAAAAGTTCCGAGAGTGATTTCCCCTTATATCACGATCTCAAGCGGTCGTTAAACCCAGACTACTAGATCCTTGTTTATCGAATTACACTACAATTTTACTCACGAATAACCCCGTTTGTCTCCCCTTCACCAGATAACTCGACGGTCCCGGGTTCGAATCCAGGTCTGACAGTGCAAGGTCCCTCTGCATCTGTGCCGCCACCTAAGGCAACACATCCACCACCCGCTTCCAATGGCGCTGCTATGATGGAGATTCCAGGTGAGAGTGACGTCATCAAATAAAAGACGAGCTCGGGAACTGGAAATATAATGGGGAGGGTGGAATTAAGAGAAGGGGAGGAATGAATCGTGAGGGGGGGGGGGTGGGGTGGGTGGGGGGAGGGATAGAATAAGGGGGTAAATATGGATAAGTGGTTGTTCATACATGACGTCATGCTTTTTTGGGTACATTGTCATTTTTCATTACAAAATGGAGCTTTAAGTAAAAAGGCTATTGCTAAGATTCAGATTAAAAAAAAATTGCGAGATTGTGACGTCACATGTAACCTTCGTCACACAATTAAAATATTCCAACGCCCGTCCCAACCACCTTACACACAACCATTAGTGTGACGTATGTTATGGGTGGCCCATAAAGCCGTATAGAAGAGAATGGTATAGGATAAGATGAAAACAGGATAAGGAAAGGTGCTGGACTAGAATGACAGATAAATATAGAAAGATAGGTGGAGGGAATAGAGAACGAGATAAATATCTTCAGAATAGAAAGTAAAGGACTGTCAGATTTTAAAAAATAGATTTGTTTCGTAAAAAACTAGTCTAGTAGGTAGAATTTTAAAAATTTTGTTGCTGGAACAACAGAAATTATAGCACGTGCTTCTATTTTTAGACCCCAAGTGCCATGACGTTGACGAGAGGTGCAGCGCACTCATTCACGTACACAACTGTATGACTGACCACTTGACCCAGATGTTGTGTCAGAGGTCATGTGACTTATGTCCTTACGGTAATACTTCATTTATTATATGTGTATATACATACATACATATATATATCTATATATCTATATATCTATATATCTATATATCTATATATCTATATATCTATATATCTATATATCTATATATCTATATATCTATATATCTATATATCTATATATCTATATATCTATATCTATATATCTATATATCTATATATCTATATATCTATATATATATATATCTATATATCTATATATATATATATATATATATATATATATATATATATATATATATATATATATATATATATATATATATATATATATATATATATATATATATATATATATATATATATATAAAGTTTCTGCATATGGTCTTAGTTAAATTTAAATCTCAATATGCATGCATGTAGGCCAACATAAATTTACATCTTATCTCATGTCAGGGTCTTTACTTTCCGCGGTCTAAGTTATATAGCTCATGTATTATTAGACATTTTGTTTTTTATTTCAGTGCTTGTCTCCCCTGATTCAGGTAAGTTTTTTTCCCTGCTCTTGTGAAATTATGTTGTAGTTTTTAAACTTACATTTTTATCCTAAAAAGTAATCATTAGTTATGACTATGAAATGTGAACATACACACCTTTATTTGAAAATAAATAAAAATAAAACTTAGGTTAAGGTTTTGACTTACCATTGTAACTAATAGTCAGTCGGAGTTTGTTCAAACGTAAATAATTAAATCAAAATGCGTTTCTTACCCGCTACACGTTGAACGTTAACGGTTTACATACACTTTGTTCGAACATAAATAACACTTGTTTCGAATTTCGAACAGTACTAAGTATTATTTCGACTTTCGAACATAAATATGTATTGCCCCCGATTTTCGAACATCAATATGTATTGCTTCGATTTTCGAACATAAATATATATTGCTTCGATTTTCGAACATCAACATGTATTGCTTCGATTTTCGAACATAAATATTTATCACTTTCATTTATATATTGTTTTTGGCTTTCGAGCATAAATAAACTAGCACGCGATATTACAGTTTCTCAATAAGGTACACAACTTGTAAACATTAGATCAAAGTAGTACTGCTCTCCGCTAGAAGAAAGGTTGTAATCTCTAAGAGTGTTCTGTTTATTACAGCTCTAGATGCTGGCGCTAAACCTAACATTACTAGTCAAGTATTGAATACACAATCAGGTATGCCTAAAAACATTATCATTTGCGGGGGGGGGGGGGGGCGAGGGATGACACGCATAAAAGCGGTCATTAATTATTTAGTGTTAGTAGCCCGTTTTTACTTTAAAAAATAATTACGTAACGTTCTGAACTGACGAGATTCAGGGCAGATGAAGTAAAGGAAAATCAAAAGGAAAACTAGGAATTTATAGTAAAGTAAACTCACTGTTATGACGAGGTCAAAGGACATATGAAGTAGAGCTAAGTTATTTCTGATTTCTCGATATACAAATAAATTGTGTGGTCAGCAGCATCTTGTTTTTAAAACTCGAGACTGGTACGCTTTAGATCTGTGTGGACTCAGCCACTCCACGCAAACTTTGTCATACAAAACACAACGAAATACCTACCCAAGTCCCCAGGGTTTATAATCGTGCGCTCTATAGCCCGAACACTGCTTAAAATATCCATCTATTAACGAGTCTATTTTCCAGAGCATTTAAATATCGGCGCCCCCGTTGTGTCTGTGAACAGTGGCGCCCCCGTCGCCCCAGTCAACAGCGGCGCCCCGTGACGGCGGAGTGCAAGGACTACGACCCCATGTGTCCGGACCTGGTGAATGAGTGCTACTTCGACATGCTCATCACCAGCACCTGCAGGCTCACGTGCAACTACGAGCCGTGTGGTGAGTGGTCAGATTTCTATAAATAGAAAGCCAAACTTGATCGAACTCACGAGAAAGCCTAACACTGGGGTTTCAGGGATCACGAAGGATTGACGTTTTTCCATTGTGGTGTGTGCATGATAGTGTTTTTAATTTAGAATCGGATACAGGAAATGGTCTAGTAGTGGAGCTCGTGCAAGCTAGCCTAAATGTCTGGGTTCTGTGTGTGTATGTGCCTTTGTGTGTGTGTGTGTGTGTGTGTGTGTGCGCGGGAGTGGTTTTTTTTTGGGGGGGGGGGGGGGGGGGCTATGGTGTTATTTTAAGTACAACAAAATAATTGTATCAGCCTTAATGCCTTTTTTCAAGTAACCTTAATGCCCTTTTTTCAAGTAATCAAAACCTTCTATTCATAGGATGAATTGAATCTTTTGCCAGTTGATAATTATTGATTGACTTAAATGTTCACTGATCTTAATTTCATTGAATGTCTATATTTATGACTTTATTTCACAAATTCTAAATTATTGTCGACTCACTGGTAATTTGTTGATTAACTCACACCCATCTACCTGTCAGGTGGTCAAGTGGACACACAGAACATTGCGTTTACCCGTCCCTTCCAGTTTTAAAACGTAGGTTGTTTTCATCTTTTCTACATTTAGAGCTACCAGTTAAGTCGGCCCAATCCTATCACCCACCATAGATCATAATTACCACGTACACATTATGTTACGCATCTACATATGATGGCTACGTTGAGATTAAAGATACAATTAGGATGTGAATAGATATGCAGTGGCGTCGTAGGTCGGGTGTCAGCCGGTGCAGTCCGCACCACCCGCCTCTTCCAGACTTTTTTCTCCGGGGGCACTTGAAATTTTCGGGGGGGGGGGGGGGCGGTAGACTTTCTTCGGGGGGGGGGGGGGCGGACACTGTTAAAAGTATAGATTTTCTATATAAATTATATAAATTTCATTTCGTTCGGGGGGGGGGGGGGGGGAGGGCGGTAGAATTTTTTCGGGGGGGGGGCCTTCCCCCCCGAAGAGATGCCTGGAAGAAACTCTGCCCGCGCCACCCTCGCTATGCCTCTGTTGATATGAACGTACTTGTTCTATCACATACCCCTTACCGCATTTGTACTGTTTTCGCCAGAATATTTAACTTAATCTTAACGTTATAAAAACGACGAAAGATTCATGTAAATAAAGATACTTTCATTAATTCATTTCATGTATGGAAATCAGTTCTTGCCAGTGGTATAGTTGAATTGTTCAAATACCTTAATTTAAAGGGCGTTTTTACCTTGATGCAGACCGGACGTTACCATTCTTTACCACCCTCGATTATACCTAGCCTTTATAATGACAAAATTCATTAAAATTACTACATCCCCTTTAGTAAAGTTCGAACCTGACGGTCCATGGGACATGTGAATTCACATGTTTCTGTGACCTCGGTGTATAATGAGCACTATACCCAGCCACCTTAACTTTCCGTAACGTGAGTTAGGTACCCATCAGAGCTGCGTAGAGTCAGGGACTTTCTACTGACATGAACCCGGGATTCGAACTCGAGACTTTCGGCTTAGCAGGCTAGTACTCTATCGCCAATACAAAATCAAGTTCATTCGTAACATACTAGGGAGATATCCGGTACCTAGCGATTCTGTCTCTGTTTGGGGTACATTTCCCGTGGTTTATGTATCCAATGGTAAGACAACTTACAGTAGAAATGTATCAAAATAATCAAATTCTACTTTATCTTTCTGTCAGCCTTCACCCCACCAGCTGCGGACAGCTGTACTGACCACGACGACGATTGTCCCGTCCTGGTTAGATCCTACTACTGCAGTAAGGACTTACTGCTGCCTCGCCTTTGTCCACTGTCCTGTGGTTACTGCAGTAAGTAAACAGCTACTTAAGCCAATGAGTAACGCTTATAAATAAAGTTTACTTGAATTTATATTGTTAAATTTATAATTTTACCTTTTTTTCGGGTTACGATTTTTCCCCAAGATTTTGACCATGCTTTTGTTTCTATGGATGTTTTAAATTAAAAAAATTTTTCACGTTAATTGATTTGTATATCTTCGAGATTATTTTTTATTTAAAGCAAAATGCATACAGAAGTAAATCCGGGCTGCCCCCCCCCCCCCTCCACCAGCATGACCCCCATTCCGCCACTCCATACAAATACTTAGCACCATTCCCTCTAAACCAACTTCTGCTTCAGACGCCAGCTCCAACCACACCAAGACACCAGCGAGCACTGAATGTGTTGACCACGACCCTGAGTGTCCAGCTCTGGCGTTCTACTGCTCACCAACAGAACAGCTGGTCAACCGGCTGTGTAAGAAAACATGCCACACGTGCACGGCTGGCTCTACGAGTGAGTACCTACAAACGTTTAGTAGAGCAGAGTTGGTGAGGTGTATAGAGGGCATTACATTGATCAAATCAAACAGAGAAAATTATATAACAGAATATTAGAAGCCTAACTATATATATATATATATATATATATATATATATATATATATATATATATATATATATATATATATATATATATATATATATATATATATGTGTGTGTGTGTGTAAGCATATAGTTATGTCCTAAGGATATGCATTTACTTCAAATCTATTTTTCGATTTTTCTAGCCATTCTTCAAAAGAAAATATCAAGTGAGTATATAAGACTTGTAAATTAAATTTTCCTTTTCAAACCTGGCGGTAAAATTCTCCTGATTCTGAAACCCCGGCATAGGAAGGGATAATGTGGTCAACACTTTGTCCAACCGCCTTTACTTTTCCAAAGGAGAGTTAGGTACGCATTAGAGCTGGGTGGACTCATGTTGAGACGCGAGGTAAAAAAAATCTTAACAAGGGGTTTAGGGTCAGGAGTCGTCCATATACGTGACGTGATTTCATACGATTTTACTCACCCCCACCCCCTCTTTAATCTCACACGTCGTCAAACCAATCCATAACGCCGCACCTCCCCCACCCCCAAATTATTGTTATACAGTTCTCCCCCCCCCCTTTTTTTTTAAATGGGTAAAGTTCTAAATTTTAACGTAGCTCGGCTTTGCATCTTATTTTTCAAGATTTCAACATGCTTCTATAGATTTCTACATATTTCTCATATTTCTACATTTTACGATTTTTACATATTTCTCATAATTTCGACATGCTTCATACACCTATTCTAATTATTTTTTAAACATTTCCACATGATTTTAACCAGAGTTTCTTCCAGGCATCTCTTCGGGGGGGGGGCGGAGCCCCCCCCGAAAAATTTTTACCGCCCCCCCCCGAACGAAATGAAATTTATATAATTTATATATAAAATATATACTTTTATCAGTGTCCGCCCCCCCGAAGAAAGTCTACCGCCCCCCCCCGAAAATTTCAAGTGCCCCCCCGGAGAAAAAAGTCTGGAAGAAACACTGATTTTAACTTGCTTCTAATGATTTACAACATTTATGCTACGTCACATCTCTTATCCACCCCTCCCATACGTAGCACATTGTCACTTAATAAAACATCTCCCCTCCATCACTTGGTGTGTGACGTTATGTTCAGACGAGACCTCACACACAAGTACGACCCCTCACACACAAGTACGACCCCTCACACACAAGTACAATCCCACACACAAGTACGACCCCACACACAAGTACGACCCCTCAAACACGTCATATTTATAAACCAAACCATAACCCGCACTGTTACAGCCGACGCCCTACCAAACGATTGTTTCGACCTTGACCCCAAATGTAACATTACCACACAAGGCAATGCGTGTGAGCACAATGACCTAGTTGCACGTGTGTGTCCTGTCTCCTGCAACATTTGCAACGGTAAGAAGTTCTCACTTTCACAGTTTTAAAAATTTTATTACTCGAAACTAATGTCAAGCTTCATCCTAACTATGTTGTTCTGGTTTTTAATAAATTTTGTTGGGATTAGATTATCAGAAGATATTGATTCGTGTTTCACGCCCTATTTTTTTCTTTTGTCTTACTCACAATGCCTTAATAATTGTTTTGATTTTTTTGTTGACAGAAACAAGATCAAACACCACATCAGGTAAGCGGGTACACCTTCGTACTTGGAGTTTGGTGTTTTATTTATTTTTTTTGTTTTGTTACACATCCTCGTTTGGGTGATTTATTTTATTTTGTAATGGAAGATAGGAATTCGTTTGTCTCCCTCCACCCTACACGTATATCTTCCCCACCACAAATACCCCCCCCCCCACACACGTATGTAATGTACATGTTTTTGTTGTCATGGCACCACACAGCAGGTCAGTGTGTGGACTACGACCCCGAGTGCTCATCCCTGCATTACGCCTGCGGTGCCCTAGACTTGGTGGATACCCTTTGCCCTTTGACCTGTGGGATCTGTAACAGTGAGTATAAAATAGATCTGCTATGATACGACGCTTTAGTTATTTTAACTGCTCACCTTAAAATTGTAATCATGTTAAGGACGGGACGGAGTCAGTCCGAGATATGTTTGATGGCATCACAAGCAGGAAATGCTGTGGGTTCAGGTTCGAATCTGACTTAGCCGGTGATAAAAACACCAAAAGGGACGGCTCTGTGTAAAATGAACCTGAGTATTTCTCTGATTCCGACCGGCTCGTGTCCAACTTAATGTTTCTAGTCTCGGTAACCTAACCCAAACCTTGGATCCAACATTAACCGTAACCGGTTCTCTAGCCATGGCACTAGACCTAACCCAAGACATTACACAAACCCTCGATTAAGCCCTACCACCAACCCTGGCCATAACCCTGACTCAACCCTACCCAAAACCTTACCTAACCTGAATAGCAGATACGATACTGCTTACGATTATAATAGAAGCGACCACGAAGATCAAAGCCACGTTAATATCAAACTGCTAAAGATAACATCATTTATCAGTACCCTATGTATTTTAATGTCTTACTTTGAAGTAGAAATAAAATAAAAGGAGATGATGTGAAATTAAGACACTTTTAACTGTCGTACTGATTGATCTAGATAGCAACATTAAGTTGGATGTTAGATTCTTAGTTTGGCTTAACTTAATTTAGTTATAATTTTGCTGTATTTAAAAACGGACCCAATAAAAAGGTTGAGTGTAGCTTCAACACCACATCAAAGTTGTACATCTTGTAAGAAAATGGTTTACTTTTATTTTATTTCAGATATACGTAAGTAGAGGGAGAGCACGAAAAGCAGAGTTGTTGGGTAACACGTAAAAGTAGCCAAAATACTATATATATATATATATATATATATATATATATATATATATATATATACAAGTATTTGAAATGAATTAGATATATATATATAAATCTTATAATAATATATATCATATATATACATATATATGTTATATATATATATATATATATATATATATATATATATATATATATATATATATATATATATATATATATATATATATATATATATATGTAATTCATTACAAATTCTTGGACGAAATCTGGCGTGTTGTTCCAGAAACGTGCCATATCTGCACGGATCCATTCTGCGGTGGATTAGAACCCGTGCACCGTTGCTCAGTGGACGAGCCTTACTGTATGAATGCTGTTATCAATGAGATGAATGGCAACAGACACGTCACAAAAATGTAATTATTTTTTTTAAAACTGCTACGTTCTGTTTTAACACATCAAAACAAAATTTATCAAAGAGCCCTAAATAAAAAAAATAATACGTTTAACAGTCTTAAATTATGATATAATACATTTAATAATCTAAAATCACGTAAAATTAAATGAGTTCGACACATTTAAATAGAGCCTTAACTATGATACTTTTATTTTTTTAATTATTAGTCAGTGACCGTCTATTTATAGTTTAGGGGGGTGTTCGCCCCGGAAACACCCCCCCCCCATAGATCCGCCACTTGTGTAATGGGTCTCATGTTCCCCTGCTCACAACAAACCTTCGACATTCCAGGTGCGCCACACAGCATGACTGTGTTCAGCTGTGGGTCAACCAGTCGGCCACAGACGCCAGGTGTCGCTCCTATGACGTGGACACCGTCTACAATCAGGCCTTTGCCTGCTACTTCTGCTGCATGGGAGACAACTGCAACAGTGACGTCATACCGCTCCAACAGACACTTCTAAGTTTACCCTAAAGTTAATTTCATATTTCTGTTTTTAAATTTGCTTTTTTTTTCTAACGATAATGTGAAACAATTCGTATCTTATAAATAATAATTATGACCTGTATTTATGTATTTTATAAAAGTCAGATGTTCAATATTATTTAGATTAAAATAAACATATTTTCTTTTGTACGCTTAGTACAACAATACATCTAACGCTTAAATATATGAAAAACAAGGAATTTTTCTAAAACCAACGAAAAAAAAAAAGAACTTAAAGACAACAAAAAGTCTTTGTAGGAATTTAAAAATATTTTAAAATTATTAATAGAGCGAATTCAAATCAATTACACGATAACCTTGTATTTAAGTTGATATTCTATAAATAACTTGTTGTGTGCGTGTTTGTTGCCGTTGTGTTTATTTTGTTTATTGTTTCGTTAAGAAGTTTTTAAAAAGATTTTGTATTCAATAATTGTGTAATTATTGACGCCATAGTCCTAAGGCCTAAGGAGATGGGGGCTTTGAAATTTTGTGGCGGTTTTTCTTCACGGAGGATGAAGTTGGAGTGATAGTTATGCGCTGGTAAACATTTGGTTTTTCTTTTTAAAAAATTAACGGTTTTTGTTTATTAATGTTTGTTCGAAACTTGTTGAGTTTAAATTAAGGTGGTAGAAGTGAGGGTAGAGGGGGAATATCAGTGGTGAGTAGTGACATTTTATGGACTTATTTTATCTAGGTCTCTATAAGAGAGAGAGAAGGGGGGGGGATAAGATTTTTATAAAGGCTTCGAGACTAGAGACAACATAAACGTAAATGAACGTAAATATAAATGCATTGTTTTCTAAAGAAGATGGCAACTACAGTCTTATATCCTGTAAGTTGTGAAACCATCAAAATTCTTAGCAACGAGCTGAAATGAGAAAAAGGGCATCGACCTAAAATAATGTGATGCCTACAGTTTCGTGTTCAATTGTTGTGGTGACTTATCAACATTTTTAGCCCACCTGTGAACAGTGTCATTTCTATTTTTATCTTTTGAAATGTGTTAAATTTTTAAAAATAATAATTTAAAATTAAATGAATTGTTTTTTTTTAAAGCATCACATAAACCACTACTATTAACAGTAAAATAATATAGATCTATATTTACGAATTTTGTAATTTTGGAAATTTTAATTAAAACAGTTTAGTTTAAAAAGATGTGTTGCGGTGTTTTGATATTTCTTATATACCTTGAAAAATGTATTTAGGCCTAATACAGGGGTCTCCAAACTACGGCCCGCGGGCCAGATGCGGCCCGCGAGGTCCTCTCATCCGGCCCGCGGCGATCTTTTTGTCCACGGAAAATTCAAAACAATTTGAAAATGTAGCTTTGGGTGCAAATATTATTATCCGCCGTGTTGCAGACATTGGTGACTCAAATAGCGAAAAATGCAAGCAAGTTTCGCAATTTTTTATTTGTAATGGATCAGTTGCTTGACAGCTGTTCCACATCTCAACTTCTTGTGTTCATTAGAGGTGTGGATGAAGACATGAGCATAACACAAGAGCTGGCTGCCCTACCTATTATGTATGGCACTGTTACCGGAGAGAATATAGATAATTCAGAGACATGTTAAAAGATAGAAACACAGAATCGCAAGATTTACCATATTTCACAGCAGTAAGATGGCTAATTTGCGAGAAATTTTTCTGAGCAGAGTATTTAAGTTAAGAAAGGAAATAGGTGACTTCCTTGAAAGTAAAGGCAAGCCACAAGGGTATAGACATTGGCCTCTGAACCTAAAACTACAAGAGATGGAAATTTAGTTTCTGATCCATACACCCACTTAAAGGCCTTCAGATCCAAACTTGTCATGTTTTGGAACAAGCACAAGCCAACAACTTGACGCACTCTCAGCAGTGCAAGTCTTTACGGCTGAAGCAACCACTGAGTTGCCCACGTCATTTGCATCATCAAAGAATTCAAGCTGCAGTTTCAGTAGCGGTTTTCTGACTTGGATTCAAATGCAGAAAAGTGAAACTGTTTCAAAACCCATTTGAAGCAAATGTGGCCAGTTGCAAAGGTGAACTGTAGCTGGAGGTCATTAGAGAAACGTTCAAAGAAGGGCGGGTGGGTTTTTATAAGTTTTTCCAAAAGGAAGATTTTCCTAATATTAAAAAAATTGCATCAAAGTACCTTTTAAATTTTGGAACAAGATACCTGTGTGAACAAATATTTTCAAGGTTGAAATACGTGAAGAATAATTTGAGAGCAAACTTGGACCTCGAGTATGTTGTAGGCCACCCACAGTGTTTCTTTCACACTTTTTTCTCCGTGGGGGGGGGGGGACACTTGAAATTTGTACATATTTCTATATAAATTATATTTCGTTGTCTTTCCCCAATCAAACATATCATCTAAAGCAGGGGTCTCCAAACTACGGTCCCGCGGGCCGGATGCGGCCCGCGAAGTCCTCTCATACGGCCCGCGGAGATCTTTTTGTCCAAGGAAAAATCGTTTGTTGGTGATGGCAGAGGAACTTTGTCCAGAAAAATGCCTGGAAGAAACTGGCCCCCGAACTGAAATTTGATAGTTAAAGCGGCCCTCGGACTGAAAAGTTTGGAGACCCCTGGCCTAATATATTGATTGATTCTCACGTAGGCTTAAAGTAGGTTATCTGAGGGGTAAGCTAAATACTTTGCTGGATGCGGGGTAGGTTAAAATATCGACAGAAAGGAGGAGGCTGTAACTTACCGACTCAAAGTTTCTTCCAGGCATCTCTTGGGGTGGGGGGGGGGGGGGGGGGCACCCCACGAAAATTGTTGTTCTCCCCCCCCCCCCCCCCCCCGAAAATTTCAAGTGCACCCCCGAAGAAAAAGGTCTGAAAGAAACACTGCTTACCGTCCAACACGTGAGGCAATAAGGTCAATGAACCGTAGCAAATCTCCACCAACCTCTCTTTTCTCCGCTGATAGCCTCTACTACCAACGCAGCGTGCAATGAAAATAGGACAATAGAAGGATTTTCCTCTATGACCTGGTTTAAAGTGGGCCACCGATCATCCTGCGTTAGCTCAGTTGGTAGAGCGGAGGACTGTAGATGATAAAAAGCTATCCTTAGGTCACTGGTTCGAATCCGGTTCGAGGGAACTTTTTTTTTCTTGTTTACAAAGCGTTTGCTTCACAATTTAATTATAAATGTATCACTCGCGTATTTTATGTTTAAAATATTTTTTTTTCTAAGAGAATTAGTTTAATGGAGAGCAACTTATAAATGACAATAGTGTA